GTGCCAAGAACCCCGAAAGCCTCAAGAGCAGCCCTGGCATGGCAGCCGAGCACGAGTCATCCGAGTCATCCGTGTCATCCGAAGAGGGCAAGAGCCTCAAGAGCCTAAAGAGCAGTTCGCTGCCACTTGAGGAGACAACCGCTGGCTGGGACGGAGCCCGTGTTCCCGGCACGAATCTACTCTACTGCAACTTGCTCCTGACGAAAATAGATACAGTTGTTTGCCAGATTGATGATTTCAATTCACCCAAGTCCAAATATTTCTGGGTATGCAAACCAGGTTTTCACCAGGTTGTTTTCGTTTAATTTTTTGCAAGAGTAAGGCGCATGCGGAAAGAAATGCAAGAGTGGCCGCCAGTTGGGACTGTGGACATACTGGTGCTACCAATATGTTTGCAAGCCATGCTGAGCCAGGCACCACGTCTGGTATGAGTTTCTTTGTACAGCAGCAAAGCTCAATTTGCTGAATTTGGGGTCTCAAGAGGACCGCACAGGCACCCATCATAGGCATTTTGATCCTAGCTAATTCAAGATTTTGTGCAGCTGCAAAGCGCATGCTAACTTGTGAAGATGGACATGTGGCTAGCCATGAACAGAACTGGTTTGAAATGGCGAAAGCTGCAAAGTTTCAATCCTGAACAGTGCAAGGCGCCGGGTGCTTGAACATCTCACAGCTCAACAGCTCTTTTGCCACCGGCAAAAGCTGACACGGACCAAATGGAGCAAGATAAAGGCCCATGGGCTAGCGCGTCGTGGGGTTCCGCGAGGGGCTGGATGACGCCCGGTTTCTCCAATCGGAGCAGAAGGTGTTGGAAGGCGCCAATACTGCAAGCTTGGTGACAAGGATTGATGATACAAAAACATTACTCACTGAGGCAAAGGACCAGGTGTTACTGGGTCTTGAGACGCGTAGGGGGTAGGTGAGACTTCGTGCTCTTTAGGCCCTCAAATCTTCAAAGTGGCAGTGGCCAGCAGCATGTGCCCTGAAATGTTCCTTCCATTGAAGGGTGCATCAGGGGAAGGGGACCTTCTTCAGGAGGTCCCCTTCCCCTCGTTGCCGCGAGAGCTCGGGGACCACGGAGGAGTACTACGAGGACCCGTTGATCTTCACCCACGAGGAGGGCCACAACTTCCCCACGCAGCCGCCCCGTTCGCGGCAAATCTATAGCCGGGTCGCCTCTGAGGTTTGGAGGTGAGCCGGGTGTGGTTCCGGGTTGGACGGAGGTAGGGAGCAAGAGGGGGTGCCCTGCTGAGTTTCGGGATGTGAAGAGGAAAGTTTTAATGGGCTTTGGATTTGAACCTTCACAATCACATGCTGAGGGTGACATTGCGAACGTTTGGTGTGTGAAGAGTTAATCGCCTGAACAATCCAGAGCCTAAAACAAGAGCAATCCAGGTCTCTGGACCCTGGGTCTCAATTCTAAGTGGTTTCTTTGCCAATCATAACAATCATATGGTTTTGATACAGTCAACGGCCAAACGAGCACTGAACTACAGGACAAGGTGTGCAGTTCGTCTCAAGGGCATCATGGTAATGGGTGTACCGTTATTTACAGTTCATCTCAGGCCGAACTTCGTATTTGCCAGTTGTCTGTGAGGAAACACCAAAGGATGGATACGATCAGAGCGAGTGGAAAGGGAATGGTTCCAAACATGACATGTGCAGAGCTCATGCAACGCCAACCTTTAGGAGCATCAGGAATAATAGAGCTGAGCTGACCTGCCGGCCCATGCCTCTGCCTTTCCTTGCCTGTCAACCGTTTCCACTGGGGGAGGCGTTGCGGCGGCCGGCCCCCCTGAGTTCACGTGTGCATGAAGCAGAAGCCGAGCCCCAGAAAAGCGGTTGTGCGTTGCCTGCGTTGCCTGGTTGCCTGCAGTGCTTGTGTTTCTAGAAGACTAAGTTGACCTTCGGGTCCAGCCAAGGCCGGTAATCTAAAGACGAAGAACAATGGTGATTGGAGCAGGCATGCTATCCCTCCCACTCACCTCTGCCAAGTGCAACAGCCTTTGGGACATTTTGGAGCTCCAGGCCGTTAGAGTGACATGGAACACTAGAGCACAAGTTTCCCGTTGGTGATTCTTGCTCGGAGTGAAAAAAATCGGATGTTTTTGTGAGATTCAAAGGTCCATGCTTGGAGTCATGTGGCACAGCTTGGCCAGATGACTCGCCACGGTGGTTTTTTCTCTACCCACTGCATTCGCAGTTCGGAGAGCGTCGCCCTCTGGGTGGGAAGAGGGATACGGAGCCAATGCCGCACACCTCTCCTGAACACTGCGAGAAGCCGGGAACCGCTGAGCCGGGAACCGGAAGGACTTCCCCGAAGAAGTCGACTTCAGGCGTTGGAGATGGAGCAACGCTGGAAGAAGGAGTTGGAGCAGTTGAAGGTGGGGAGATGGGTCCAACTTTAGGGGGGTTGGGGCTTGGATGCTTTCGTTCGGAGGCTCCGAACGGTTGCTGAAGAGAGTGGCAGGAACCTGAGTCACTGTTTAAACTTAAACCCAAGCAGTGTCGAAAAGGTCGGGATTTCTGTGGACCAAATGGAACACTTGAAGTCGCGCTTCCAATTTTTTTTCGAAGATTTTTGGTTGCTTGTGTAATTGGCACCGGTGGTGGTTGTTCTGTGAGTTTTGTGAACATTGTAGTGCACTTGAGCTTGATCAGAAATGCCTTTGGTCCACTACTTTCCACTTCTGGAAGGATCTGAGGCCTTGTTCGATGCTTTTGGGAAAATGAACTTCTCCTCCTCCAAGGAAGACCGAACAGCTTGGGTCAGGGTGGTTACATGAGTATGCGACCATAGGTTTTTCTTCCACAACATTTTTGCCCAGTCTTCCAGCGACCACCAGTCGAAAGCAAAAACACAGTCACGACGGTAGGAAACGGGATGAAAGTCCTCGAAGGGATTTATGAGTCACGAAGGGCTTGTGAGTTTGGAACTTCACCCTTCAGCCTTCCTTCCATCCTATTCCTTCCATTGTGGCTCGGCTGTTTTTCCTCAGGATGGCCATGAGCAGCTCTTTGCGCAGCTGGAGTCCCTGGAGGAGGAGATCGCACACTTGGAGGAGCCCCAAAAAGCGGCCGCTGAGCAGCAAAGGCTCTTGGCGCAGCAGCTGGAACAGATGCAGCCGGAACTGCTGAAGAAGGAGTGGGGGTTGGGCTCGTCCAGGCGGTTTCTTCAGATCGAGGGCCAATGTTGGTATTGGTGAGCCAGTGTTGTACTTCTTCCGTACAAGAAATCAAGCACCACTTGACTGGCCAGATCGAAATGCCTTTCAACCTCAATCGGAAAATGTTTGGGTAGAAAGGCCATGTTGTGGTAGCTTTTCTTTTTTTCCCGGCCAGTAGCAAGAGAAGAGATCAACCACAGACAAATTTTTGCTGGTCCGTCTTTGGCACCTTCAATCCTGTCAAATCAAAGTCTTGCGTAGGTTCCTGGGATTGAAGCTATCCAGAATCCAGAAGCCATTTTTGTTGCCGGACATCTGTACACCAAAAGGTTTGTAAGCCACTCTCAGACACGTGTATGGATTTGTGCCACCACTCAGAGGCTGCTTGCACACCATATTTACAATCTCCCACAAAAGCCATCGTCGGTGGATGCAGACGTCTGCATGGAGTGTTCCACCTCAAAACCCGGCACCCATGAGGGACCCTCCCCCCTGGCACCCCGCCCGACAACACCAAACAGCACCTTTCGTTCTGGAAAACGGAGGAGATGTTGAAGGAGACCAACATGCGCCTCGAGCTGGAGATCAAAGATCTGCAGCGGGAGATCGGGTTCGTCGGTCGGCCGTTGTCGCTGGTCGCTCTCGACTCGAGCGTCGTGGTGAATTTGAGCGAAGTGGTGAAGGACTCACGCCATTCCTGGAAGGGTGCTTCAGAAAGCATACACACCACTGGATAAGAGGTGCCACCAGGGTGGTGCCAGGTGCTTGAAAGTGCCACAAGTAGGTGATAGAGATGAGATAACCAACGTGATTCAGCGCAGTTTCAGCGCCGAGTCTTTTGTTGGAGACATGTCATGAAGCGAAAGACGTCCCCTTTGAAGCGACCACGCCTGATCCCCGTCATTTTTCCAGGAGATCGAGCCGGGACCTCAGAAGGTTGTTGGGACGCGGAGGGGCACCACATGGCCCGGCATCCTCAAACAGAGAGAAGGTGGGAGAGTTCATCACAACTCAGCCATGTAGCACCATCGAATCTGCTAGATGAGATCATTTTGAGATTAGAAATCGATGCTGAGACTGTAGCGGGAATATGCTAGGTATTTTTCTAGGTTCTTCTAGTTATATACTAGTTTTCATCTGAAAGAAAGTCAGATAGGACTTGTGAAACGATGGGCGGAAAAGACAACCTATGTCATCAGGAAAGATCATATATGTCACTCCTTCTATCTCATCAGGCCAAAACAAGCAAGATTGACTGTGGCAAATACACACACTTAGGATAGGGTGTACTGAACTGAAAGCGGTGCCACACGCCGGCCTAGGGTTCCATTTCCTAAGAGTACCAGTAGGAAGCCATCGAATCCTGGGGGTCTTCAAAAGGAAAGGAGGCCCAAAAGGAAAGGACCGAACGACGAACGAACAGGCTGACGACGTACGCTCACATCTGCAGATGCATTAGCACTTTACCAAAGGGTTAAAATTCGCAAGTACGTCCAGCAAGACTCAAAACACGAAACGCGAGTAGCGATTAGTAACAGAACCACATGAGCCACCATGAAAGCAAACCACAGCGAGAACAACAGGTAACCAGTTTGGCAGGTATGTTTACACGGGCCCCGGAGGAGGTCTTCATTGGCCACCGCTCCTCTGGGGCCCCGGTGGCCCCCTGCTGCACAAGGAAAACAACTGTGAAGCTAAAACAATCCGAAAGGATCCCTATGATTCCAAGGGTTACACACACAGGCCTCCCCGAGGGGAGGCAAGACGTGTACTTCGTCCCCAAGTAGTGGTAAGGCCAGGAACCTCTAGTAGCGTCAAAGAAACACCTAACACCTAGTAGGAAGGCCAGGAGCCCCTAGTAGCATCCCAAGCTAAGGTGCCGACAAGAGGGAGGGGTAGGGAGAGACGAGAAAAAGGAGAGAAAAGAAAGGAAGGTGTTCCCAGCTACGACGCATGCGTCCAAGGACACACCAACGGAAGAGAGGAGAAGGTTCCCAGCTATGACAAAAGCATCCAGGGACACCCAAGGAGGGAGGAAGGAGAGAGAGAAGGAAAGAAAGAAAGAGAGAGGGAGAGAAAGGGAGAGGAGAGAAAAAAGAAAAAGGCAGGTGTTCCCAGCTACGAACAAGCGTCCAGGGACACACCAAAGAAAGAGAGGGGTGATCCTGAGTGTTGCATTCAGGAAAACCCCAGGAAGCAAAGAAAGAAAGGGGGAAGGGAAGGGGACCCAACAGGTTCCAATGAACCTCAAAAATACTTTGACCGCTGTGGTCACCTTGTGCCCTGCCGAAGCGGCTGGCTGCTTAGACCGCTGCGGTCACGTAAAGGCATGAGCCAACTTGGAACTCCAAAGATGAGACAAACATCCCACTTCTTGAGGCGTAAGCCATCTACTGTCCGCTGCGGACACTTACATCTCCAAAGCAAGGGAGATAACGACGTACCCCCGTTCAACGGGTCCACGGGAGGCACTCTGCGGGCTCATCCCGGGTTGGCACGGGGCCAAACACACTTAGGATAGGGTGTACTGAACTGAAAGCGGTGCCACACGCCGGCCTAGGGTTCCATTTCCTAAGAGTACCAGTAGGAAGCCATCGAATCCTGGGGGTCTTCAAAAGGAAAGGAGGCCCAAAAGGAAAGGACCGAACGACGAACGAACAGGCTGACGACGTACGCTCACATCTGCAGATGCATTAGCACTTTACCAAAGGATTAAAATTCGCAAGTACGTCCAGCAAGACTCAAAACACGAAACGCGAGTAGCGATTAGTAACAGAACCACATGAGCCACCATGAAAGCAAACCACAGCGAGAACAACAGGTAACCAGTTTGGCAGGTATGTTTACACGGGCCCCAGAGGAGGTCTTCATTGGCCACCGCTCCTCTGGGGCCCCGGTGGCCCCCTGCTGCACAAGGAAAACAACTGTGAAGCTAAAACAATCCGAAAGGATCCCTATGACTCCAAGGGTTACACACACACACACGCGCACACACACACATTTATGTTGTGATATGTTGTTTGAAGATGTTCGAGATTGCGTGGACTTCAGCAGGTGTCAATTGAAGCTTTCATCAGTCATGCTGTCTCCTTGGGCACGGTATTTTACTTTATGTTTTGCTTTGAGATATTATGTACTTGTATATACTGGCAGAACGTCCACAACTCCTAAGTCATCCTGCTGTGTATTGCATTTGGCAACCTTGTCTACTGACTGATGACTTAATTGTTGTGTCCCACAATTCCTATTTCACTAGCCCAGCAACTTCCTATGTCAGTAGCCTCATAAAAATACATACATACACATGTATATATATATATGTATAATACAATTGTGATATTTATCTTTCTATATATATATATGGTATATATGTTTATAATATATAATGATATATATATATGTATATATATATATGAGCCTTATCCCTATGATCTAATCTCCAAACAGCAAGACCCCCAGATGGATATGGGCACTGCTTGGGCTATTTGGATTCATACCTGTGCTGCAAATCCTCGACTCATTTTGTTCACCCACTACCCAGGAGGCAACACGGGTCATTGGCACTCCTATATAGAGTTAACCACTTTTGGCCTGCAGATGCCGACGTCCGACTCGAGGCAGCTCGAGAAGCGGAAGAAGAGGGGGCTACCAAGGTTGGATGCATGCAGATAGGCAACAGATGACCCATCCTTTGAAGTACCTGTTGCGAGGGTTTCTTGGATGGCTCTTTGAAGGAACCAACTGCAGATGGAAATTGCAGAGTCAAATCCTTCGTTTCGCCCAGCGATAGAAGGTGATTTGTGGCTTCCATAGTTCGGTGCATTGACCACCCTTCCCCACCCCCGGTGCCTCAACCTTTAGGTGCAACAAGATTTGTTGTGAATTTCCTTGGCCAAAAAGACAACTCCTTTCAGTGGGCGGTGCCGGCAAGATGTCCCTTTCTTCTGTGTGCCAAGAGGTGTGCGTGGTTCAGCCCTTTCATTTGGTGCCACGTCCTGTCTTCCACTCGATCGCCGCCTTCGTGTCTTCCTGCGTCCGTTCACCGGTCGCCTGGTCTCAGGCGCACCGGTTCCAAGCGGCCTTGAGGTGGGGTGGGACGTTGGCTTCGGGCGATGACAGGGATCGTGCATAGTTCTGTGCGGCGGGCGCGACGTTCGAAAGCCCCATGTGCTTTCGAAGCAGGTGCGGACAGGTCGCAGGGTTGGGAGCTTCCTTCACACCGAAACATCCTTCGAGCTTCTTTCACAGAAACAGACCTTGGTATACCTTGCCCCAGGAGTAGCTCCACACCCCCGTCGGGCCTCGCCCCACCGCTTGAGACCGGTCGCGCGGACTGGATTCTGAAGGAATCCTTTGAGCCGAACGGACGTGCTCCGTGTGAGACCAAAGGCGTGCGGAGCTGGTGCGGAGCTGGTGCGGAGCTGTGGAGAATGAGTTTGGGCATCCAACGGTGGTTCCAACGGTGGCTTTGTGCAGGGGTCTCTTGCAGGGCCTCTCGGATGGCATCAGGTCTTGTGTGCCTGAAAAGCTGGATGCAGCATCCGCCAGCTACGCGTGCTGCGCTTTTGCTCAAGTTTACTGTAATCATGGAGGCCATGGCTGCTCTTTCAGCAAAGCATCTCCTCCACATGTGCACAAGGTAGTCTTTTCTTTCCACACTAGCGTTCATCATCCGGGATCCTCTCGAAAGGCGCCCGTGCGCTTTGTTGTGACGGAGCAACTAGGACCCACTTTGCCCTGAACGACATGGTTCCTGCACGTGCCAAAAGAGGTTCCTTATAGAACGACCGTTCCAGCCACCATTCCTTGGTTGGGCACGGCACGTGGCACAGTTCCAGCTGCGCCTGAACTCAGCCATGAGAGAATCCCTGCGCAGAGCGGCCAGCTCTCAGTGGGATCAGCTGTCGCCAGAACAGGCCTTTTTCGGAACGGGCGAGATTCCTCGCGAAACAAAAACGCGAAGCTCCGGGTGTCTCAAGGGCTTGTGCAAAACTGGATGGCTAGAGGTGAAGCCTAAGCACCGCCAGGTGGTCATTGCTGCAACTCCTCCTCTCCTTTGGGAGCATTTGGGGGAAAACATGAAGGAAACGAATGCAGATCTAGAATCTAGTTCCACTCACTTGGGGACTGACAACCATTCCTTTGGAACTGGTACAAAGGCAGGTCTTTGCTTTTCAACTCTTCCGCTGCCAATCCGCTGAGGCGGTGGAGGAGGTACGACCCGTGCTTCGGGCGTGTGCCGAGGCGGGGACCGGACCGGGAGACCGGGGAGACACACCCGAACTGCATGAGACTGGACTGTTGGGTAGGGCCGGATGGGGGGTCGTTCAGCACTGCTTTGCTTGAAGTTGTCCGTCCTTTCCTCTTTAGCTCCGAAGAAAAGGTGAATACCTCCTGCGTAAGCCAGCTCCCGGCCGCCCAGCTTCATTGAAGCCAGGCTGTGGCCGAATCATTAGCCACTGGACATCCTTTGAATACCAGGCAGGACGAGTGATGATGAGTGCCAGCTGAGGTGAGCTTGCCAGGTACGGGTTTGTCTCAAAGAACTCCCGTTCCAAGTCTTGCATCCCCTGCCCCCTTGTACCACAGAAGAGAAGGAGGCTCCCTTATCCTTTTCTTCACATAGACAGGTTACCTCCCCAGATTGGGAAGACCACTCTCATCCGAAAACAACTGGCTCATCGTCCAGAAGGCCAATTCTTGATGAAAGTTGGAGAGCCAGGAATTGCAGTTGGCCCAAGTGGTCAGGTGCCAGGCCAGGAGTCATCAATGGTGGGCCTTAGAAAAGGGCTTCAAAGAAGCCTTAAGGTGAAGATCCTGATGGAAAATAGTAGAACTACCGAACTACCTGTCATCCTCTAGTAGAATCTGGAACTTTCCCACAGGAGGATGTGTGTCCAATTCAGTGAAATACGGTGCATCTTATGGCTGGTTCTGATGACTATGAATCTGCACAACCCCACAATCTGCAATTTTTGAATCCCATCAGCCAGTGCCTTCAGCTAGCTCCGTTGGCCGGGTATGTCTCAAGCTGGAAGAAACCCCGACCCGCAGCGGCTGGGAGCTCAACGCCATGGCGGAGCAAGCGCCCAAAGCACCGTGGTGGGTGCCCCTCTTCTGGCCCTTGAGCCATGTGAAGAAAGCCCTGAAGCTTCAGAGGCCGGCTGCGCTGGAGCCCCTAGAGGTGCGAGCGGTCGGTGGTTCGGGCCCCTGTGCCGCGATGCCGCTTTCGCGAGGAGGTCGCCGGGGTGGATGGATCAACAACGAAACTTAGCGGGTTAGACACCACTTGTACAATGTGATTGAGAAACTTCTAGAGCAAAGGACCTTCACGGCAAATGGACCTTCATGCACCTTCCCCCCTTCTTCAGTTCGGCCACCCGAACTGGCGCCGCTGATGTAGACAGCCGCTGAGACCGCCGGAGACAGGCAACGCCTGACTTGGACCTTCAGGGCCATCTGAGCTCGGTGGTGGCATCGCTGCGCTCCTTCTTGCTGGCCTATCTGGCCATTAATGCCTGTGAGTCTTGATCCCCCAAAAAGGACACCGAAGCGAGGCCCTGACTGGGGCACAGTGAGAGTTTTCTGGTGGGTTTCGGGCCAAATGTTTAGGCACGGGGATTTTGTGACGATCATGAGGTCATCTACACCCTGTTGAGTTTGGGGATGTGACTTTCAGCAGTGATCTGGGGTGAGCTGAACATAGAAGCAACAGATCAGAATTGAGAATGTTCAAGTCGGCTTGGAGGGCAAGGCTTGTCAACTTCCATGAATCAACATGATTTGTTGGGGTCAGATGCCACCTCCAAGGTGGGAAAATCCCTTGATGGACAAGTCAAAAGTCACTGGAAGTGAAAACCAAATGGCGGCTAAACTGTATATCATATCCCTCAAGCTTTCAGTCTTTTGCCAAGACCATGTCGATCTCTTCTTCTCACTGGGGGCTATAGTTAAGTTTCCCTAAAGGTCTAGGAACCAAATGAATAGTGTCCTGCGTCCTAGGTAGTAGCTACTTGCTGGCTACAAGCTACCGTTTGCTTCTACTAGCTACCCAGCTACTACCTCCCTCTACGGCCCACCCCCCCGGGGCTTTATTCCTCTCCTTTAGACCATGAGGACTATCCAGCCTACGGCGCGGCGAGGACTTGGAGTGTCCCGCATGAGAGAGTCCCAGCGGGCCCAAGGGCAGATGGGAGCGCAGAAAGGTCGAGCTGGGCCTTAGAAAGTCCAAGATGATCAGCTAAAATGAACTAGTACCACTGGTACCATATCTCTCCACATAGATTTCCATATGTATCGAGAATAACACATTGATATAGCCTCTCTCTCTCTATCTATCTATCTATATATATATATATCAATATGGTATATTCCCGATACATATGGAAATAATGGAAAGATAAGATATGGTACCAGTATGTACCAGTTCACTTTTCCAGATTTTATAATGTTGGGAATCAGGGCCAAGACCATTCATCCTCACGTCCCGAACTTGCGGGGCTCATCCCGCCGAATTTGAAAGCCCAAAAGGCTCACTCCTCGCTGCACTTGAGGCAGAGGCCCAGAGGCCTTGCAGTCGACCTTTTTGGGTTTCAAGGCCTCTGCCTTGAGGCTTCCAGTGGATGTGGCCGCTGCTGGTGAGGAACTTGATCGCCACCTGGGTCATCTGCGGATTCTGGGATTGGCCTCTTCCTCCGAAGTGGGAGGGAGGGTTTCGAGGGAGGCTTTTAAGGCTGTGCCACTCAATTGATGCATTCACCAGATTTGTGGTTCTGTTCTCAGTTCTCAGGGTCTTGCTTCGGGATCATGGACGAGAAGTCATGCTGCAGTTTCAAAGGCAACCACATGGCGTGAGTGAACGAGGAGTGCGAAGCAGTTTCGTGGTTTAGGACCAAGAGCAGGCAACCCTGACGTGCCAGATCAATGCTGGCCAGATTGGGATGTCTCTCACAGTAGAATGATGGTGTTGTCAGTTTGGTTTCCCTTTTACCAGGGGTTGTGTTGCATTGAGACGAGCTCCACTTTTGAATTTTTGACAATACTATGTCATCAATGAAAGGGCGTTGTGTTTGTGGGGAGGATTATGTCAGATATCTAGACTCCATGTGTTTTGTGCCATGCTTGCTACACTTGTCACCACAGTGGCATTGTGAATAGTATGATATAGAGATGTCACTCAACCACCCATTTTTGCAGCAAACGCACTCATGGAAGGACATTCGGCCTTCTTTTGAACATTGCATAGGACATTCGGCCGAGGTTCCTCTACCTATCTCCGATGAAGGAGGCTGGGCATCGTTGTCGTTGTCCATCCCGACTCTCGGAACACGGCCTCCTTCTCCCTTGCGGTGTCCCCCACACCCAATTCGGTGGCCTTTGGAGGTGCTTCGCCCCTTCAAGATGAACCCGCAACTTGGGCAGCATTGGACGCCATGTTTGGGGAGCACAGAAATCGACACCAGTATTTTCTTCACCGGCTCTGAAGGATGTTTGTGTTAGGAGCAAGGACGCTACTATCGGCTCCTGGCCGTACTACTTGGAACAAGAAGCTACTAGGGCTCCTGGCCGTACTACCAGGAACAAGAAGCCACTAGGCCTTACTACTAGGAGCAAGAAGCTACTAGGGGCTCCTGGCCGCACTACTACAAACAAGAAGCTACTAGGGGCTCCTGGCCTTACTACTAGGAACAAGCAGCTACTAGAGGCTCCTGGCCGTACTACTAGGAACAAGAAGCTACTAGGGGCTCCTGGCCGTACTACTAGGAACAAGAAGCTACTAGGCCGTATTACTAGGAACAAGAAGCTACTAGGCGCTCCTGGCCTTACGACTAGGAACAAGAAGCTACTAGGCGCTCCTGGCCTTACGACTAGGAACAAGAAGCTACTAGGGGCTCCTGGCCGTACTACTAGGAGCAAGGAGTGGCCGATTTCTCCCAATGGAGTCTGGAGATGGCCGCCGACCGTCTGCGTGAAGCACTGGGTCTCTGGTTTTGGATGGCAGAGGATGAAATACCGTGCAAGGGTTCTTTGGCCACGTTAGCCAAGGAAGTACCCCCCGTTGCGGCAGCTGCAGCACGACGCGTTGCACACCACGCTGGCCACGTTGTGTGGCTCTGGGGTGGAGATCCTTTTGTGCCGCTTGTGGGCCACCGGCATGTTGCCCATGCAAGAGACACTTGCGGAGGCACCTCTCTGGCTGCTGGGACAATGTGATCTTGGGTATGGGGAAATTTTGGATGGCTCTCCAACGAAATCATCAACCTTAGTTTCGGGAACCCACACGGAGATCGCCGCTTTTGGGTCCAGTGACCCCGAGTTTCTAAGACACATTTGGAGTTTAACCTTGGGGATGAAGTGTGGTCTATTGAATCTGGCCCTTCATGCAGAAGACCCGTGTCTATGCTGCGGGGACAGATAGAAGTTGCTTCAAGCCACCGGTCACCGCTGGGGTTTCGATGTTTTCCAAACAGAACAGGTGCACCCCGCTTGCGTCACAAGGACCTTGCTGTGGGCCGCCACCATTGTGCATTGGCGTATCCCCCACTTCTACTTGATGCACCGCGGGATGCATCCGTGGAGGACTGGGTCGACGGATCCATTTCACCGGAGAATCGGTTCAGTCCCATGAGAAGCACTTCCAAAGGCACCAACCCAATGAGAAGGCTTTCCTTGACAGAGCCGTCGAGCGCGCGGTGTTCTTTTTTTTGGGTGGACATGGACGGGTGACGGACCGGCTTTTGGGTTTCGGTTTGAATCTAAAGGAGTCTGTTTCAAAGGAGTGTCTGTTGGAGGGGCCCGGGGTGCAGAACATCCACTCACTGAAAGGGGACTGCCAGCGGTCGTCTTGCCACACTTGTTCCGCTCCTGGGTGTTTGCAGGACTACTCGTGTTCCTGATTTTGGGAAGTTTTTGTACCGCAGCTCACCTTAACAAGGACTGATTTCGATCTGAAAAAGGGGTGTGCAGGACGTGTGGAAGAGAATTCAAGGTACTGTAACGTAGCAGTTTTGTAACATTGTAACTTGTAACTCCAAGTGGGAGCACTGCAGAAGGAGGTCGATCCTGTGTATATAGCACACAGCAGAATATAGCAGGATCTTGGGCCCAGCGGGTGTGCTGTTGACTGTTGTTGCCTTCTTCAGCTTGACTCATATTGGACGCTTTTGCCCTTAGAACTGGTCCTAGATCTTGAATCTGCCTGATGTTCGAGTGAAAAAGCTGGTTGAAACGGCTTGATCGATGGGCCGCCAAGAAATGGCAGGTAAATAGCAGCTGAACCCAGCGAGAGTCGGTGTTTCCTTTCTAAAACCGAAAAGGGCTGAAGAGGAGCCGAGGAAACAGCTGAGCAAAAAAAAAGCTGAGCCAAAAAACTGAAACAGTGCAGCCAAGTCCCTTATCCAAAACCATTGTATAATATTGCAAGTCGCCTCGGGGCCAGCGAAGTGATCCCTGCTTTTCCGAAACACATTTTCTGCCGTGCTTTTCTATCTTGTTGGATTACTTCCCAACAGAAGAATGCAGCTGGGTTTCAATCCCTTGGGGGAGTGGTCACAGTTTGCCTCTGGCGCCCGAGAGCCGGAATCCCACCCGCCCGCCTGGGTGCTGTTAGGTGTGACATCCACGTTGGAAGCCTGTGTGCTGTTATGTGCTGCGACCCGACTTCCACATTGGAACCCGCATGCTGTTAGGCGCTGTGATTCTGTGATCAGACTTCCGCCTTGGACACCTGAGTCATGTTAGGTCAGGTTTTGTGATCGGAACTGCCACCTTGGCAGTTTGCTGAGAGACTTCCACCTTGGATCCATGGGCGGTCCGGTGATCTTACTTCCAGGTCGTGGGGCGCTGTTTCATGCTGTGATTGGACTTCCATCGGGTGCTATACTGTACTGTGATTAGACTTGCACCTTGGAACCTTGCATGCGGACTTCGACCTTGGAAGTCTGGATGCTGAGGTCAGGTGCTTTGATCGAGCTTCCATGTTCGAATCCTCGGTGCTGTTGGGTGCCGTGATTGGCTTCCAGCTTGGAGGCCTGGATGTTGCTAGCGTTCCGCAGCTCCACCAACGTTTTTCAGCGTGGACAGGGCGCCCTTCTTGTTCTTTCGCGGAAAACGGGCTGATCGTCTACTCTGCCAAAACCTCGCTGAGCAGCGTGTCGGTGACGGAGGCCTTGCAGGTCACGTGAGTGGCGCAAGCAACTGTTTCTAGTCCCATGGACTTTGGTTGACAGACCAAATTAGGCAGGCTGACTTCGCAAATCGTTGGCTCGATGACCTTGGTGTGGTAAGTTCAATAGCGTTAGAGGAGCACAACGAATTGTGTGTTGCCGGCAGTTGTTCTTTGCTCACTGGACTGTTCTGTGCTCACCAACGTGCTGGTAATTGTTGTTGGGTTTGTGCAGTCTTTTTTTTGCGTTGCGGCGCCTTCCTTTCACACACCATGTTATGTCCTACGCGCAACAGGTAGTTGCATGTATCTAGCTGGGCGTTTTGGCGCCGGCAAGCGCTTGTGCACTTGTCGTTTGTGCCTTCTGTTTCCATTGCGAAGCATTCCAGCGCAACACACTCGTTTCTGCAACGTCAACAGCTTTTGCGCTTGTTGTGTGCCTCTTGTCCCAGTTGCAGAACATTCATTCCACAGCCATTCCACGCACAATCAAATATGCCCCACACGCAGCAAGGCCACAGGCAGTCGCGCATACCCAGCAGGATGTTTCTGCCCCGGCAACAGTCTGTGCACTTCTTGTGTGCCTTTGCCTCCATGGCCAAGAATTCTTTCCACGCTGAGAAAACACATGTTCCATGTGCAGCAAAGCCACAGCCAGTTGCACGTACCGAACAAAACGTTTCTGCACCGGCAGCAGTTTTTGCATTTTTTAATGTTTCATGCTTGCTTTCCGGTTCCCACTTCCCGCTCCCTCGCTTTGGGTTCGGCAAACGGATTGGGATTGGCTGGGAGCTTCAGCAAGCCAAAGCCACATAGTTGGAGTGTTTGAATAGTCCCAGACTACTAGTCAATTGAGTTGTTACTGTATTTGCTGTTGTGTTGCAAGGCTAGGCCAATTGCCTTAGGCCTTGGAACCGTAGTTGACCTCGACTTTACGTGGCGCACTCATGCATGCCCATTGTGCCGAGGCCACGTGCATGCCCAGCATCACAAATCCTATTTGCCCACAGCCTTCTCTGGCACCAACATGCATCCGGTGGAGGTACGATGCTCGGCAAGACGATCGGTGGACAGTGGACGGATGGGTGGACGATGCCCGGCTTCGGCTTCCCCCACCTTTTTGGTTCGCGGAGGCTCAACGCGGGCTCACCAGGTAAGTCGGTGGATGAACGGATGGCCCTCCCATCGGTTGGGTGAGGAAGGAGGGGAAATTCCTGTTCTTTTATTGCAGGGGCCTTTTGAGTGGTGCAGAAAGCCGGTCCGATGGGATGCTTTTTTATAACTTTTTTTCGTTCCCATGAACGTGGAAGATTGGCGAATCGACTCAATCGGTCGGCACGTTTGCGTTTGGTTGGAGTTTTGGAACTGCTCAGCTGCAGCCAACGTGTGTCCAAAGGAAAGGCATGGTGCAGGGTCCCAAGTGTGCGAAAAAGTATACTTTCAACGTTTGTTCCTGCACTGTGTTGGTCTGCGAGAACAGAGTGCTCCCAACATTGCCAAACCGTTTTTTTGCAACAAACATATGCGCCATCGGGGTGGCTGGCGGCCAGGCCACGTTATACTACTTGATGCCTTCACTTTTCATGGCCTACCTCTGCCGCCTGCACCCCGCAGTGGCCTTGGGCTGCATCTTTGACTGCGCCGTCGGCGCCTGGCTGGGCCACGATGGCTTCCGGTGGCCGGGGGCCGGGGTCGCTCGGCCGATTCAGGCGGGGGGCCGGGGTCGCTCAGGTCTCGGACCCGTGGGAACCGACTCGACCTCCGCTCGCTTGGACCGGTCGGGGACTGGTGGCAGTCCACTTGAGGGCCGTCGAAGTGTGCCAAAGCGCCTGGTGGGGAGGGTGTTCGGGTGGTCCTGGTGGGGAGTTCCGATGGTCCGATGGCTTTGCTCCATCGGCGTTTTTTTGACCAGGGAGACTCCCGAGCCACGCCCCCCTTGGAAACAAAAACACAGACGACGACTGAACCCATGAGGGCAGAGATGGCAGAGGGAGTCAACACAGATCCCACAAAAACATCCAAACCTGCACCTGGTTTGTTCTGTCAGCGTTTCGTTCCGCACTGAGTCCCGGTCCAGGTTTGTTTTGTTGGTTTGTTGCTATTGGATGGTGGTGGTTGCGGTGCTTCAGAAGGGCTTTTGCTGCCCATCTCTTTGTTCTTCGGGTGGTTGCACTTGAATCTGCTTCACGTCGTGCAGTCACGATGACTGCACAGCACACTCAGGATTTCTTTCACCAGCTCCACCACGAGCATTTCGACTGTAACTATGGGGCGCAGCACATTCCCATTGACAAGTGGCTAGGGACCTACTGTGGCAGCAAAGCAGACGCTCGGGGAAGCATCGCGTGATGGAAGATGTTTCAAGGCTTACTGTAAGGGCCGAGGCACGCAGAAATCCAAACGAAAAGAACTCGAGGCCTGCAGCTTGCCTGCAGGTTGGATTTCGGTTGAAATTTGTATGGGCTGCCAAGCAGATCCGGAAAAAGGCATGGACATTTCTCTGGGCCCTCGTCGACCGTCGCACGCCAAGCCAAGCAGTTCCTCTTGGATCCGCCGACCGCGGTCGGTTCGGGCTCCCGGACGTCGACCGAGCCGACGCCCGAGGACTTGAAGAAGGTGTGGGGCACCAGCAGCTCGGTGGGGCGAGAGGGCAACATGGAGTGCACCCAAGTGTGGGACTGCAAGTGAAGGAGCAGAATTCCACCGTGAAAGACACAAAAGACCGCTTTCCAAGGCCGCTGAAAGACAGACGCCCACGCAAGGATTGGGCCGATTGGATGGGTTTTGCGTTCGTTTCTGGTGTGAAAGGCCCCGCCGCACCAGCAACAACAACAGGGAGAGAGGTTTTAGCAAAGTTTAAGCAGAACGTTAGCGCGTCAGAGTTTGTTTCAGCGTGAATCTGGAACATCACATCAAGCTTTCGGCTTCCTCTGGATTTGATGCGCTTTGTTTTGCAATGTTTCAGTGTGAATTGGATTCAGATTCCCTGCGTAACCTGTGATCCCAACAGGCGTGTCAAGTCTTTGGTGGGAGATTGTCCCCACAGGAGAGCCTCGCAGGGAGGCTGTCGTCGGCCTCGAGCCCAAAGTGTTGGTGACCGCCAGACTTTTGAAGGGCTTTTATGGTCAGACCTTGGCCATCACGTGCGGGATGGTAAGCATCCTAAAGCATTTGTCAAATTAGCAAAGATGGGGATGCCTTTTGTTACTAATAGCTTCTGTTCCTAGTAGTAAGGTCAGGAGCTACTGGTAGCGTCCGTGCTCCTAGTAGCGATGCCCTTTGTTACTAGTAGGACTCCAAAAACTGGTCAACGACTTGGGAAACCTCCGAGTTTTGGACCAAAAGATCCTCGCGAAGGAATCCATCCGCATCACGTGCTGGGACCAAACCAACAGGCGAGCCGGCCACAAGCAGCTTAGTTCATTGCTGGAGCTCAGAAGCAGCCAGTCGACAGAAGCAAAGAAGTGTAGAGCTCAGTGCTGCTGCGCAAGCTGGTTCAAGAAGGAGTTGAAGGACCATGACGAGGGTAAGACATTGTGTCTCTACTCTAGATCGCAAACTGAGCAGTGTTATGGTTTTGGAACACCCCACGCAGTAAAAGAGGTGATAGACATTTCTGGAAGATATAGAAAAGTGAATTGACCAGTGGAACGTGAATTGAAGACGTTTCCATGTCTATCCAAACCAGGTCATATTTTTTCTGGTTTTAAAGCTCTGAGTCTAGTTGCATCAAGCCTGCAGGCAAGTCAAAGAAAGGGGCCTTTTGGTCTCACCCACCAATTGTTTAGTGATAGGCTACTTTTGAACAGTCAGTGGAGGCAATCTCGTATGTTCAAAGCTTTTATATAGTATTTAGTGCTGTCAGAATGTTTTGTTTCTCTTTGGGATGGTACCACCAGTGGCACAAAAAACAGTTCGTACAAGAAACACATTGTCATTTGTTGGTGTTAGTGGCCACCACAAAATCTGTTGCTTCCCTACATTCTGAATATTTTGATGGCGCGAACACTTGTGCAAATTCTTGGAATAACTAACAAGACGTGACAGTTTGCTCTCAGTTGGCTCGCTTTGACTTTGGCAGGTGGGCTGTGCCACTGGAGCAGGCCTTCCTGGCTGAAAGCCCGGATGCTAGCGACGAAGCACAGGCGTGGGACATTTTTGGAGCTCTCGTGCAACCCCCGCTGGGCTGGACGCGTTCCTTTGGAAGGAGTGACTTCAGGCAGCAACTCGCCGACCCGGACGGGTTGTTGTGGAACCGAAGTGGTTGACTCGGTCCATTGGTTTTGTTGACCTTTTGACTCCTGAAGCAGACCAACCTGGATGAATGGATGTCAAAATCCAGGGGCTTCAGCATGCTTCAGCTCCGTTTCTGGACGGGGCCCTCGCACCCTTGCCGGACTGGGCATTTTCGGCCAGAGAACCACCAAACCCCGAAATTCTGGTTCACCCTGGGTCGAACAGATTCCTCTATGTGGATGTCAAGCGAACGCATGGTTTGTAGATGTTTGTAGGGTTCAATGACCCTCCAACAGGGTGCTATACAGTCTGCACACCTCACCGGCCCCCGCGGGTGCAAACCCCCGCTCGCCTCGAGGCGCGGTGCCGCGCGGTGCGGGACGCCTTTGCCGAGGACGTGGGGGAAGACTTGCAGGTCTGACCAGATCACTGGGGGTCCGAAGTCTGTTCACAGGGTATCTTTTTGTACGTTCTTTTTCCCGAAAGCATTGCGAAGGGTTCTTCCGGAAAAACCCTTGAGCACTGACACTTCGACACTTACACTTACACACTGACACTTCCACCACATTCGCACGACATACACTGACACTTCGACACTGACACTTACACATACACACTGACACTCGGCAAGCACGCAGTGTAAGTATGCAAGTGATGGGTACGCAAGCATGCATTGAGCATGCAAGCATGCAATGAGTAGGCAAGTGTGAGTATGGAAAACTAGCACGGGAGATGTCCTAATGAAAAACATTTCCCCACTTTATAAATTCTCTCTTAAAGGCGGAGGGCGGGACGAACAGCGTCAACCGAAAGTGCAACCCTCTGCGGAGATCGTGCGTGTCGAGTGCGCGAAATGCAGGCGAGAG